ATTTGATGCACAATTCCACCGGCTATGTTCTAAAACAATTGGTTCATGCTTTCAGCTGTGCACTATCGAGTTATGGAGCACGTGGGAAGTTTGGAGAGCACTCAAGAAGCTAGAGTTTCCCTCGGCTATCGCCTCGGGTAACTCTTACGCTTCTTTCGTGCTCTCCAAACTTCCCGCGTGCTCCATAACTCGATAGTGCATGCTAAAGCATGAACCAATTGTTAATGAGACATGTAAGAAAGCCGAACGAACGCCATCAGGTGCATAGGTCGCATTCAAAGATACATCACCAAGGAAAATCTCAAATTGTTAGTAACTGCATCGGTATTCTTGATTTATTTTATGAGGAACTGTACCTAGCTTTCATATCAACTAATTCTCAATCAATTCTTTCATTTATTTTATTTATTACTATTATGAGAGACATTTTATGGGTATCAACTAATTTATTACTGTAAACTTTTTTTTATTATTGCATTACTTATCCGAAGACAGTACTCTATTTTACTTGAGTATGCATCGTAGAATGATCGCACCGCTGCCATAAGAGAATACAAATCACCTTGTCTGTCCGCATCGATCGCACTTGATGAATTACACGCCCGACTTGCGAGATGGTTCACTAAAAAAAGACTGTCCCCTAGTCTCTTGTGAATACGTTCGATTACTTCTTGCTGAGTGTCGTGAAGATGTCGACGGGCCTATTAGATAATGCCAGGAATTCTTTCGAAAAAATCGCCAATGTAGGCAGCGTCCATTATGGCGTGGCCTTTACAACGCGAAATAGGCTCGTGACGCGCGCGTCGGTCTCGTTCCGAAGATTTTCGGAAAAGCCCAGAAAATCGATATTTTCAACCTATATATATGAGGCTGTACTTTCAAGCGACACATATATATGTTGAACTTTACAACCTGTATTTTTCTCACCGTAAGCTATATATAAGCAATATTCAACCCATTTATTACTCAGTACAACATATATTTAGTGATAAAACCTATATTTTAGTTTTCAACATTTTTGTCACGCTTGGCGTTCCATACATTGCATACGTATGTATTGTACAATGCAAGTCTTAAATATCTGTGAATTAACCAGCCGTCCTCTGTGGAAAAACAGCATTTAGTGCAGTCTTCCCCCAGTTTGATGACCGCTACTTTTTAATACGCAGCCTTCGACATCAAACCTCATTGGAAATACATTTTCATGAGCTTTACAATCTCAGATGGGCGTGGGCCTTTTAAGGCCTTACAAATAATTGGAAGGCAAAAGTCCCAACCTCCTGAACGAGCACTCTCGACCCAGATCGCAATCAAGTGTGCAAGAGATTTAGACAGTTTCGCTGCCCGCCACGGATTAACAAGTTAAGAGATTATATTCAAGGACTACGATAAGCTGTGAACCAAACCAGAGTTAATAGAGGGAACTCTGACCAAACTAAGGTAAACAAAACCTCTCCTACGAGAGCTGCCTTATAATTCATATCCTGTCATGGTCAGTTCAATAACTTGTCTTCCCTCTAAGAAATATCTTGGTCGCTTATCAAGCTTTCACGATCTAGATTTAATCACTTTAAATAGTCTTTTATACAAGAAATTTGACGACTTCAGCGCCTATATTCCAACCAATAGGTGTAAATAGTACTCTCCACACAGCTTGTCCCAATTAAAAAGACATTTAAATAAGTCTTCCTATTCAAATTCTAGATTATAAGTTTTTCATACTCATCTCCGAAGCTTAAAACGTAATTTGGAAAATTTCCAAACCCATCTATAGATCGTTTCCACTCTCACGCAATGAAAAAAATTAATCGAAAACTATTCTATGGATAAAGTTAGGAAATTGTAATATTATAGGAGAAAGGTAAATAAGACACTCCTTCCAGTCTAAGGCCTTTTCGTTTTTCCAAACTTCAAATATTCGTCGAAATGTTTTGTGTGAATTTGTAGAGCCCAGTATAAAGCCGCCATGTTGGTCCACATCTTTGGTGCACCAACATGGCGGGTGGAAGTTAATATCTGGTACTTACTTTGGCTACCTTAACTGAGCCTATAAACATTAATAAACGCATTTTCCTAACACTTAAACTCCTAAAAAGGCTAAAAATCACTAGATAAATGTATATTTTTCGACAGACACGATCGGGGCTGTAGGTCACGCACCGCCACACCTGTGAACTTCAAACTGCGTTTCGAAACGAAGCACGCTATTGAGTTGAAAAATTGAAAACAGGTATAAATTTAAACCCCCTTATGCCTGATGAGGATAAAAATTTTCGTGGCTTTTTAGTTTTAAATTCTGGAATTTGATGACATCACGTAAAAACGATCTATTAGAGAAACTTACTTTTTGCTTCAATATTGAAGGTATCACAGAAACTAGAATAAAAAATGCATGTGATTATCTGGATTTTAATCCTGCTATACCCCACTATATGCGCCAATACCTCTTTCAGCTGGAGGTGTTTGCCGATGCCTATTGATGACAATCTTAACAATCTTAATGAGAGCGTGTCCACCAGAAAACCGGGCAGGGGCGATAAAACTCAATCACCGATTTGGCTCAAACTTGGCACAGATACTAATTATTATGAGCTAACAAATGTGTGAAAATAATTGGTCAAAATATTTGACTCCCTGGGAGATTTAGGGTCCCCCTGGGTTAAACCCCCATTTCCTGCTCTTTTTGCATAATTAATTAGCTAACTTTGCATTGCTGCTGTGACAAACCGAAAATCCATCTGCAAATTTAATCGACTGGGTTGTATTTAATATCTATCAGAATTTAAGAAAATTGAATTGTTTTTACGTTTTAATTTCATTTCTTCCCTTACCTCTCCCTTAAGTAAAGACGACTTTTTCTGGTTTTGACAAAGTCTAAAACTAAGGGTATTTTAAGGCCCAATATCTCCGATGACCAACCACTTCTGATCATTATTCCTACATGGACAGTGAAAGCCATCACTGAACTTCCAAGATCAGCAATAAAATTTTGGGGCAACTAATTTCATAACCCGTGCTGACATGAAATTTACATCTACCTCCCGCTTTTTGGTCTGTATCAATAAAATCCCGTAAACCACATCTCTGTTGTCAACGTAATAACTTGAAATTTACAAGAAATTTCCCAGAGAGTATCGTTGAAACATGAACGAGGAGAGAATCTTTGAGTAGCGCAAGTTGAGCCCTTTCTAAGAACTTTTTTCGCAGCCATACTTGGATTATTCTCTGGGAAACGCAGCAGTTGATGATGAACATCAAGGGCGCATGTAGTCGAATTTTCTGACAAAAGAAATCTCGGAAGAAGCTTGATAGTACACACGTCTCTGTGGTGCCTCAGTTGTAACTTTTGGCTTGATATCATTCGTCAGACAAGTAGCCATTATGTCACAATGTACCGAGTGTAGCATACTGAAGCCATGTTGTTTATTTTCGACCTTTTGGGTATGCGATACAAAAATAAAACCGCTGGCCGGTAACGGCCGCATACGTTACACCGAGATTCGATTTGCTTCGTTGTCTTGTTGAAATGTTAAACGCGGTGAGCTCTCGGAAATATAGATCACAGTGATTGGTCTTTTACGGCGTGATAATTACATGATATATGTTGGTGGCAAAAAGATAATTTAATGCCCTGAAAGCTGTTGTAAATCAAAAGGACAATTCGCCATCTTTGGTCAGATCGCGCCTGCAATTTTGTATAGCGGTCAACTTTGACAATCTTTTGGCATGTTGTGTTTCTAGTCTACAAAGTTTAAAATGCAACAAAGATTTAAGGCTACCAAAATATTTGACTTGTTATTTCTTAAGCTTGAGATAGTTGCTGGCTCACCGAAAAACAAATAAGCCGGTGATATATTGGTCTCCTCTCAGCACAAGGAAAAACAAAAACGGTTAAAAAACTGACACGTTTATAGAAATCACTTACATATTTTATCCGAGGTTTTCTGTAGCTGTCTACAGTAACATCTTAACTTCTGACAAGGCGAGAAACTAGACGC